AGTACTTTGTCACCAGGAACTACTCCACCCTCATCGCTTTCGCCGTCGGTGGCCAGTTCCAGCCCGGGAATGGTTTCAGCTTGCTGGGGGCCCACACCGACAGCCCCTGTCTCAGGGTAAGGCAGGCCATCCTAGTGCCTTCCCTCGGCCAGAGGCCTTCCCTGCTGCCCTCCAGTTTCACTGCACCAGCAGAAAATACACTAACTGCCCCTGTGCCCCACAGCACTGTGGCTGGGTCCCTGCACCTCCCAAATCCACCACCCAGGGCAGCCCATGCCAACCCTTTGCATTGCTCCACCTGCTGTTATGACCTCCGTGTCTTCTGTCCCACAAAGCCTCTTGCAGCACCCTTCACTGACAGGATCAGCAATGGGCATCCTCTGCCCAGTCCCCACCAGTTACCTAGTCCCTGGAGCTTTGCAGTGCCTGCAGTGATGCCTCTGCTCTCATCCAGGTGAAGCAGCGCTCGAAGCGAGGACAAGTAGGCATCATGCAGGTCGGTGTGGAGACCTATGGAGGGGGCATCTGGAACACCTGGTTTGACCGGGACCTCACTGTGGCCGGGAGGGTGATCATAAAGGTGAGCCCGATTTGGGACAGGCATGGTGGGCTAGCTGTGTGTGTCCTGTTCCGGGTCTGTGACTCCCACCCAGAGGGGGACCTACTGCAACCTCTCCACCTCCTTGTGTTTCAGGACCCGGCCACGGGGCGCCTGGAGCAGCGCCTGGTACGTGTGGAGCGGCCCGTCCTCCGCATTCCCCACCTGGCCATCCATCTGCAGCGGAGCATCAATGAGAACTTCGGGCCCAACACTGAGCACCACCTGTAAGGCCTAGCCTAGCCCCAGCCCCAGCTGGACCAGTGCCCAGCCTCAGCTCTCTCCCTTTGGCAGCTGCTCATCGCAGTGGGGAGGTCTGAAATGGCTTCTCTTAGGCCCATAGAGTCTTTCTAGGAGATGTTTCCAAGCCTGAGAGTTGGGAAGGAATGCTGGGGTATCCTGAGGTGACACAATAGATCTGTGTTTGGAATGTTGTGTGCCTTTGCTCCATTTGGCGTGGCAGTCGCTCCTTGTAGGAGCAAGGCAGGCACCCCAGGAAGGGCTGGTTATGCGTGACCCAGGCAGGAGAGGTGAGCAAAGCCCTGGGAGCTAACGGCACCGTCTCCCCACAGGGTTCCCATTCTGGCCACTGCTGTGCAGGAGGAGCTGGAAAAGGAGGTGCTCATGGAGGCCACCCCTTGTGATGCCTCAGCCCAGGTGAGTTGAGGGCTTTTGCTAGGACCTCACGCTTGTCCCCTTTGATCTCTAGTCCTTGGGGATCTGCCAGCAGGTTCCCGTTCTCCCCATGGACTGCTGGTAACCTTCCACTCTGCCTCAGAGCTGTGTACAGAGCTCAGCCTTCTCTCTCTTCCCACCCTGGTCTGCAGCCATCGTGTAGAAGGGGGTGCAGCCCCCATAAAGCTGTCACAAGCCTCCCTGGGAATGCTGGGGGATTACACAGGGGAAAGAGAGCCCCTCACTGCACCCTGCAAATGTCCCTGCTGCTCTGTGCGAGGTGGGGGCTTGAACACGGGATGTGTTAGTGGGGAGGACCATGCCAATGTGAATGGGGTGTGGGACGGCTCTGCCAGAGAGGACAGGGAGCTTTCCCTGCCATCCACTGCCTGCCCTGCCCACAGCTCTGCTTTCTTCCCAGGCAGAGCGGCACAGCCCTGTCCTGCTTTCTCTGCTCTGCCCCCAGCTGGGGGTGAAACCAGAGCAGATCGTGGAGCTGGAACTATGCCTGGCAGATACGCAGCCAGCGGTGAGTAAAGGCAGGAGCCTGCCTCTGCCTGCACACAGCCTGCGGGCTGGCACTGCGCAGGTTTTACCCAGCATGGGAGCTGAGCTCACTGAGAGTAGACAGCTCCTGAGGGGTGGAGATGAAGGAGCTGAAAGGACTGGGATAGGGACCCAGAGGCAGGTAATTTTGGTGACCCAAAAAGCCTGTGCCTTGCTTCTTCTGGCTCTCTGCCTGCAGACGCTGGGTGGTGCCTTCGATGAGTTCATCTTCTCCCCACGCCTGGACAACCTGCACAGCTGCTACTGCGCCCTGCAGGTGAGCAGGAGGTGATAAGGAGACTGGGGTCGCAGTGTGGCTCCCTGGAGCCCCGGCTCAGCTTAACAGCATCTTATTCCTATGGGATGGGTCTGGCTTGTTGGAGGATCTGGGCTTGGATGGGGGCTGCCCCCTTTGCTGGGTGTGTGGGGTTCTCAGCGGCTCCCAAAGGTGACTCCTGCTTTTGCTGGGCAATGTGTGCCCACAGGTCCTATCCTCAGTGCTTTGGGCTCTCCTGGGGAAGCTCCTGGCAGCTCAGTGCCGAGCTTTCTGGGATGGGGTAGCACTCAAGCTGGTATCTGCCCCCCTATAACTCTGCAGGCCTTGATCGACTCATGCGCGGCTCCCTCCTCCCTCTCCCAGGAGCCCAATGTGCGCCTCATTGCGCTCTACGACAACGAGGAGGTGAGTGAGGGGCACAGCTGTGGGGTGGCCAGCACTGACAGGGGCTCCGTGTTCTTTGCTGTCCCCCAGCCATGCCTAGCAAGAGATAGATCCCAAGTCTCAGTGGGGCAAGAGGGAATTTGCTCACTCCAGCATGGAACACGGCCCGGGCATGGGGTGGGAAGCACTGGGGTGGCTGGAAGCTGTTCTGCTGGCTTTGGGGAGCACGCTCTCGCTCAGCTGGCCCGTGGGGTTGCACTGTGTGGGTTGTGCTGATGGCGGTCCCCGGCAGGTAGGGTCGGAGAGTGCACAGGGCGCAGAGTCCCTGCTGACGGAGCTGGTGCTGCGCCGGATCTCAGCATCACCACAAAACCTGACAGCCTTCGAGGAGGCTGTGGCCAAGTCGTACATGATCAGTGCCGATATGGCCCACGCTGTGCACCCAAACTACGTGTGAGTAGTTTGAGCAATGCTGCAGGCCAGTGCAGCCCTCCCTGACAGCTGCCAGGATGTGTCCTTGTCATTCCCTGGAGGAAGAGACAAGACAGTCCTTGTTGCCATGGGGAGGGAGGGCTGTAGCGTGAAACTCCTGCTTCCTTTTCAGGGACAAGCATGAGGAGAATCATCGACCAGCCTTCCACAAGGTGAGGGCAGCCCTCTGCTTTGGGCTGGGAAGGACACTGTCTGTCTGTCCTGCAGCACCGTGAAGCACCCAGCCCCTCCTTGAAGCACAGTCCCAGGGTGTAACTCAGCAGCACTCAAACGGGAGATGTTTGTCCCACAGCACGATTTGGCTGTGCCACACCACTGGTGTTAATTGCTTGAGACCACAGCCTTGGCCCCAAAGCCCTTCCCTGCTCTGAGCTGAGGCTGTCCCCATCCCCACAGATCACCCAGGGAGGGGAGAGTGGTCTGGTGGATTGAGGTGGGATGGCATTGAATCCATGTGGGTCTCTGGACCACAAGTGTTTCCAGAGCTACCGCCTATCCCTGGTACCAATGGTGGGCCTGCGGTGCCTTCCCTTGCGCAGGGCCCTGTCATCAAAGTGAACAGCAACCAGCGCTACGCCTCCACAGCTGTCACCGAGGCAGTCATCCGGGACATCGCCGCCCGCGTGGGTGTCCCTCTGCAGGTGAGCGGCGCTGGGTGAGCCCTCCGTATACAGTACCAGCTCAGGCTGTGGCCCTGCCCCTGGGTTCAGGAGAGAGGGTCTGTGCCTGACCCCCACCCCTCGTTTACTGTGTCCCAGCGGCCTATGCGGGGGGGCTGTGGGGCAGTATGGGGAGCTGCTGAGGCTGTGTCCCTGTGCAGGAGTTCATGGTGCGCAACGACACGCCCTGCGGCACCACCATTGGCCCCATTCTGGCCTCCCGCCTGGGGCTGCGTGTACTGGACATTGGCTGCCCGCAGCTGGCCATGCACTCCATCCGAGAGATGTGCTGCACCTCGGGGGTGCTCCAGAGCATCACCCTCTTCAAGGTGAGGCTCCGTCCTGTAACATGGCCCCCTCGCTGCTGTTCCACGTCTCCTGTGTCCCCATGTCCTCACCCAACCTCTGCCTTGGGGCTGAGTCGGGCCATCCACCAGGCTCCCCACCCCTCTGGAGCAGAGAAGGTACCAGCTGCTTCCAGAGGTGCCCCTTCACATCCCAGCCTTCCCTGGTGACAGCCATCCCCCAAATGGTTCCTATGGCAACCAGCGCTAGCCTTGAGTCAGTGATGGGTTACTATGGCGACATGGTCCTGCTCTCTGCGAGTAGCTGCCTGCTGTGACGCTGCGTGTGTAACCCAAAGGGGAGCCGCTGTCCACCTTCACTGCCTGTCCCCCCACCCTATGCCCCCCTGACAGCCTCTCTCCTTACAGGCATTCTTCGAGCTCCTGCCAACGGTCAGCAGCAGCCTGGTGGTTGACTGAGCACTGTGGGGAGGAAGCATCTGTGGGTTCAGCCCTGGGGCCATTAAAGCATCTCTATCTCATCAGCGAGTGGTCCATCAGCGTGGCTGGGGATGGGGGTGATCGATCTGGGGGACTCCCATGGCTCCCACCTGGGCTTTCCCCTGGGGCCAGGAGCAGGGGCTGTTCACAGTTGCCCCCTCCATGCTGTGTTGGGTGGGGAATGCCAGGGGTCCCAGCTAACAGCCAGAATGCAGCTCTGTCCTTCTCAGGGAGAGCCAGGGGGAAAGGATGGCTCCTGCCTCCTGCAGTACTGGGACTGCCCACGTCCCCAGCAGAGGGAGGAGGGGACAAAGCCACACCCAGGGGTGTGCTGTGTGGGCCTACAGCCCCAAAGCTGCAGTTGCGGGATGGGGATGGGGCTCAGAAGCTGCCCTTTCTGTGGTGCGGCTGGGTGGGGGTGTGAGGGTGTGGCCCGGTGCTCGCTGCTCA